TAACTAAAGGCTGAGATTTATAAACCAACTGTGCCATGCTAAATTTTAACTCTCATTTTTGCAAGTAATAAATTATAAAATAATCTTACACTATTCCTAAGCTACAAGTGAAAAGTCTCTGCAAGGTATTGATTGTTTTAGTTAAGAAGCTGGCTCAAAATATTTGGATAGGTGCCAGATCTGAACAATCATAAAATCACATAGATATAATTGCTTTGAAAATATATCTAATGTCAATTTCTGGTTAAATAAACAGATAACCATAGACCACTTCTGTTTTTCCCCCTAGTTTTAAGGAAAGGTTTCACCCTGCACAATTTAAAAACAAAAATACTCTTACTTAAAAAAATCACTTGTATCTGTATAAATTTAGCATTAGGATTGTCTAGCTTGCCATATTGAAGTTTCCTAATCAAGTCTCATGACTCATAAGGAGCTTTAGAATATCCCCACAATTCAAATATAAGGCATGATCTTAACAAAATGCACTTAGAGACATTTCTCCCCCATAATTGCCCAAAGAGTGACTAGATATCACCACAAAATAGCTTCTTTTAACTAATATGCACTTACGTATTTTATAGTTTACAATTTTCAAGTTAATCCACATGCAAAAGAATCAAATATCCCCAATACCCCTTACCTCACACCATATACAAAAAAGAACTCCAAATGGATCAAAGACCTAAATATTAGATCGAAAACTATAAAATTCTTCAAAAAAAATATAGAGGTAAATCTTTGTGACCTTGGATTTGGCAATGGTTTCTTAGATACAACACTGAAAGCACAAACAACAACAAAAAAATAGATAAACTGGACTTCATCAAATTTTTGTGCATCAAATCACACTATCAAGAAAGTAAAAAGACAACTCACAGAATAGAGGAAACTATCTGCAAATCATATACAAATATCTGATCAGGGTCTATTATCTAGAATATATATATTTAAAAACTCTTACAACTCAACAATAAAAGGCAAACAACCAAATTAAAAAATAGGCAAAGGACTAAAACAGACATCTCACCAAAGAAGAAGTATAAATAGTCAAGAAGCACATAAGAAGATGCCCAACATCATTAGTTATTAGAGAAATGCAATTCAAAACCACAATGAGATACCATTTCATACACACTAGGATAGCCATTAAATTAAAAAAAGAAAAAGCAACAATGTTGGCAAGGATGTGGAGAAATTGGAACCCTTGTATGGAGGGTATGCTGCTGGCATACCACTGCGGAAAACAGTTTGGTGGTTGCTCAACAAGTTAAACATAAGAGTTCCATATGACCCAGCAATTCCATTCCTACCTAGGTACATGCCCCAAATAATTGAAAACAGTTGTTCAAACAAAAACTTGAACATGAATATTCATAATAGAAGTATTCACAAAAGTCAAAAGGTGGAAACATCTAAAATATCCATGAATTGATGCATGGATAGACAAAACGTGGTATATTCATATAATGGAACATTACTCAGCCATATAAGGGAATGAAGTACTGATACATGCCACAACACAAATGAACCTCAAAAACATGCAAAGTGAAAGAAGTTAAACACAAAAGGTCATATACTATACGTTTCCATTTATATGAAATATCCAGAATAGGCAAATCCACAGAGACAGCAGATTAATGGTTGCCAGAGGCTCAGGGAAAGGGAAAATGGGGAGCAACTGAGTACCTGGGTACAGTTTCCTCTCAGGATGGTGAAAATATTTTGGAACTAGATAGTGGTGCTAGCTGCACAACACTGTGAAGTTAATGTCACTGAATTGTATACTTTAAAATGATTAAAATGGTAAATTAATGTTATGTGAATTTTATCACAATTGTTACAAAGTTCCCATGCTAAAATACAGAAAACAATGTACTTCATTTGTATAAAGAAAAAAAAAACTTCATGAGAGAAATACATCCTTGAAAGGGCATATAAGGTTCACTTCTGCAATAACTCACTTAATATTTTCCAAACCAAATAACTCATAATGAGCTCTACCAAAACAATTAAAAATGGCATTAATTCTACTTTCAAAGCTTTGGCAATTTCTGAATAAATGCCTTTATAGATGTCCTTCACAGTCATCAAATATCTCCTAACAGTATCATAAATTTTATGATCTCAAACAAAAATGGAAAGGACTCACCCCTTTGAAAGAATTCTAGCTTTTTGCCAAGAGACAAAATCAAGTACATCTGCAAATAGAGCTGCTCTACTAATACTAAGATGAGAGACTGAGAAAGGAAAGGTTTTCTTCTTATACAAATTCCTCCCCCCACAAAAACATATACACAAAATTTAAGCCCTCCATTAATTATTTTTTAATTCAATTATTTGACTAGAAATCTGATAGTTATATAACAGTTCTCATTTTCTTTTCTTCTGTCTACTCTGGTTCTTTGCAGCCACTGGCTTTATCATTTACTGGCTAAACAATGCCCAATTTAGTGAAAACAGAAACTCCTGTATTTTATGGAAGAAAGTTAAGTCCAACACTACTGAAATTTAACTCCTGAAACACTACAGAATAACGGTATAAATGAAAAAAAAAATGTATCAGCAAATGTAGACTTGTGATATGAGGATCAATATTGATCTAGAAGTCAGAACTCCAGGGTCTACCACTTACTAGGGCAAGTCTTATTTTTCTGAGCTTCATTTTCTCTTTCATATGTAAGGAGGAAAATAACTTTCCTGCCTACCTCCCAACAGAAGTACAGTAATAAAATTAGGTACAGGATATGATGTGAACTCTAAAGAAGGGCACCTAACCTAGCTTGATGGAGGATGCTGGGAAAGGTAAGAAAAAGAGGAGCAGGAAAGGCTTTCAGGAATTGCTGATGACAGAGATAAGTCTTAAAAGAACGAGTTCAAACTAAAACGGAGGGGGAGAGAGAGCATTCCAGGTAGAGGGGGGCATCAGAAGCAAAGGCAGAGAGATGAAAACCACAAATCTGCTTATGTTATTCTTCTTAAACAATCAAGAGCTCTTCACTTTCTTAGGGTAGTCCTCCACCCCAGCCTCAACCTAAGATTCCAGCCTTATCTCATTCCACTCCCTAAAGATACCATGCTTACACTTTCAAGCCTCAATACTTGGATGCCCTTCCACTATAGGAACATCTAGTTCAGAACTGGGAGACCACCTTGCCTGGCAGAGTTGATGTAACATTTCTAGGATCTCACAGTGCCTTTATACTTTCACTCTACCATTTAATATACTAAGTATTCATCTCGATCTAAGAGACACAATATTAACTTTTGTCTTCAAACTGTGGGTAGCCAAAACAAGGATTACACTCCTTCCAACATCAAAGCATAATAAAAAAAAAAAAAAACAGCATGGGAATGTTCTCAAATTTGCAACATATTCAAGAGAACTGAATAGATATCAGTAAAATTTGTAAAAATAATCATGAAAAGCTAAAAATCCTAACTATTAATCTTGACCCAGAACAGAATGAGACCATCACAAGACATCCTTACAAGAAGATAAGTATTCAGAGAACAAAATGTCCAAGTAATCTGTTGCAATTTAAACACACAATTTAAAGCAAGTGCCAATTTTCTTTTTTCTTTTTTTTTAAAAGATGACCGGTAAGGGGATCTTAACCCTTGACTTGGTGTTGTCAGCACCACGCTCACCTAGTGAGCTAACCGGCCATCCCTATATGGGATCCGAATTCGGGGCCTTGGTGTTATCAGCACCACACTCTCCCGAGTGAGCCACGGGCTGGCCCAAGTGCCAATTTTCAAACAAGATAAAATCAGAATGAATGACCAAAAAGTCATGTATAATTATTTTAATATTCAAAATCAGCTTTAGTGCATTTTAGCTATCCTTTAACGCAAAGTATCTTTCCCTTTGACTGTGGAGTTTAAATTCATCAATCCAAAAGATAGAGACTGTCTAGAAAACACCTGTGGCTCTGTCATATACCTCTTCAAAAGTTCTCTTGGTACTACGACTAACCATAGATGGAAAACAGGTTAATAAGCAATCGCTAGTATACAGAAGATTTTCACAACTCAGCGACTATTTATTCATATAACTGCCTCAATCAACAGTAACTCTTAAGAAGAAATAGCCATACCACTCGCATCTGTTTCGAGGATTTACTCTCATTTTAACAACGTCTATCAACTCCCAAGATACCGAGATACACACGTGCGGGATTTCCACCCACATCTCACTACATAAATGTCTCACCACTCCTAACTAGTCAAACAAATCCTTTCAGTACAGTGAAGCCACTCACTTTTATCCTATCTGTATCATACCATCTCCTCTCCATCCCCAACATGTCAGTCACAGAACACACACCACCCCTTCCCAAATAATACCTCAATCTCCTTGAACCTAACACATTTACACAACCAGGTAGCAATCTCCCTCACCCCGATCCAGTCCTGCTGACCCTCACACATCAACTGAACCTCTAAATTAAATCCACTCTCTCCCCTACCCCATTCCTATCAATACAATCCACTGAAACCTTACTCAATTTCCCACATCCGAAGCGACCTTCCCTTTCAGTAGCCTCAACCTCACTCAAATGATCACTCAGTCCTTTGTCAACCACCTCCTGGTGCCCCTCTTGTATCCTCCTCACCTTCCCCGCCTCCTGGTCTTCCATCAGCTCCCAAAGTTGCCACTCCCCAACAAAAACGAAAAAACAAAAAACCCACCTCAACCTCAAACCTGCCCCCCACTTTCCCCCTCTTAATTTTTCTCTCCGCCTATTCGGTCACTTGGACAGCACTCCAACAACCCCGAATACCCGAGCTCGGCCTCATCGAGTACCTACTGGTGACGGCACTCACCCTGCCTCGGTCAAGCAGCCCCCCACTAGGGCGCTTACTCCGAAAAGACTCTTGGCCGCTGCTGCCTCCCTCCATTCATCCCCGGCCCATTCATCTCTCAGCCCGATCCCAGACACGCCCCCCGGCCTCCTCCCTCTCTCCCAGCGCCCGGGCCGGCCCGGGACCCTCACCAGATTAGAGGCTCTCGCGAAGGGAGACTCTTGACTCTTCTCGCTTCTCCCTCGCCCTCTCTCAAACCTCCTCTCGCCCCCCGACGAGCCACACCGTAGAATAGACACATACACACACACCGCCTCCTCCTCTCTCGCCTCCTCCGATGCTTCTAACTCCCCTCTTCGATGTCTCGAGCGCTGCTCCGCGTTGTGTGCGCGTGCGCGCGCGAGCGTCTCCCCGCAAGCCCACCGGGCCAGCTACTGCCGGTAGGTAAAGAGCGGGCGGGGTTAAGAGAGCGGGGTACGAGCCCAGGCTCGCGCTCGCCCCGGAGCTGAGCAGGCGCACGCGTACTCCAACCAGGGAATTTAGAAGGGTAGGAGAGAGGGGCGGAGGGGGGCGGGGAAGGGAGGGGAGGAAAAGGAGAAGGGGAGGAAAAGCAGAGGGGGAGAGGCGGAGAAAGCCAAAGGAGCAGCCCCAACTCTGACGGCCCCTCTCGCAGCGAGGTGCCGAGTGTCTAGCCAACTAGAGCGTGCGCACGCCTCCCCCGCCCTCCTTAACGCAGCGGGAGAGAGGGATGCGCGTCGAGGAGAAAGGCTTCTCCCTCTTCCAAAAAGAAAATCACAGTGAGGAGCCACGCGCAACACCTCCTGTGTGTTCTCAAGCTCTCGCTCTCTCAACAGCTGCTTTACCCGGTCCCCTTAAAAAAAAAGTCCAAGGACACACTACTTCCTAGTTATCCATCACCCACTCTCAGTTTTCCTCAAGCCTCTAAATGCGGTAACTCTGCCGAGATGTGGTACCCACCAGCACCTTTTCGCCCCGCCACCCCTAACTCCCTTTTTCCAACTCCCGGCTTTTCTCGCGAGACCCATACCTGCCGGCTTCGGGATTAGAAATCGAAGCACAGATTTACAAATACAGGTCTCCCGGTTACGCTGCGAGGGCAACGGCCTTGGCATGTTCCCCCCCACCCCCCAGGACCGCAGTGCGCGCGCGCGGGTGCTGGGCAACCACCAAAGCGGGGATGGGAAAGAGTAGCAATGAAACGGATTTTTGACGGCATGTAACCACTAGGCCTGGGCACGTGCCGTGCGCCTCGCAGGCGGGTGCGATGTACCCTGGGAATTGTAGTTTTTGTTGCCACCTCCAGTCCCACTCCCACCCTCAGCCCTACTTAGGCCTCTGACCGGGAGGGGGATTACCGACGCCATTTTTCTGGGAACAATGGCCCGCCACCCTGGCGGTGGCAGGTGGGGGAGGGAGCAATGTTTTAAGGGTTCGGTTAAACTCCCCTGGCCCCTCGGTGCCATAGCAACCCCTTCAGAAACCTGACCCCGCCCCCTCGCCGCTCCGCAGGGCTCCTAAACTGCGCGCATGCGGAAAGGCCACCTCCCCCTGAGGCTGGATCTCAGTATCCCACCTTCTTTGCACCTCCCTGAAAAACTCCCAGATTCTCTAGCTGGGGGTGAATGCTGCCTCCTTCGAGCTTTCGCTACCTGTTAACCTCGGCGCAGCTGCTTTATTTAAGAACTGCTACCTGTGCTCGGGCGTATTGCAGAATTGTTTCTGTCATTCTCTTGTCAACAATACCGGCTTAACAGAGAAGGAAAAAGGCTCAGGAGGGGAAAATGGACATGACTTGCTCAAGTTCACAACAGCTATGTGTGGAGGGGTTAGAACTCATACCCAGGTGTGCTCATTCCAGAGCCCAGGCACTTTTCTTTCCTCCAGGATGCATCTGATGTCGCAAACCCTGAAAGAAAGCTCCTAAACGGCGGAATTTCTTTTCGAATGCCTCTTAAACCTTAACAGGATGCCTTAAGGGTAGGAGACTTTTTGAAAAATACCAGGCTAATAGCTTCAATTGCCCAGCCTCAGGGCTCTATCGTTGAGTTATACCAACCTCTCCCCTCCCCACCACCTTTTTTTCTTTTCCTGCTGTAGGCCTCAGAACCTCAGCCTTTTTCAGCTCTTAAGAAAAAAGCGCCATCAATGAATTTAGCTTTGAGGTTTCCAAAGTCCAAATGGAATGTAATGGTGGGAGGCCTTGTAGCGTTGTCTCTTGTCTCTGCCCCTTTCTTCTTGGAGATCGCTTGTTAATCCCAGTTTTGACAAAACATGTAAGGAACCTAGACCGTGCCCTTAACAGAGTCAAACCCCCATCTTTCAATTTTGACAATGGGGGGAGACGCTGAGGGAACAACAGCCACTCCACCTGTGGAGATCTTCCTTCCTGGCCAATTTGGAAGAGCAAGGTATGGTTTTTCCAAATAGTGCCACCACTCTGCCTTAAGGGTCTCTGCATTCCCAATTAGGTGAAGAATGGATGGGGTCTCCCGCATTCCTATCCTCGCTGCCCCTGAAAGATAGTCCTTTTCCCTGTTGAATTGTTGACTACCACAGGGAAAACAGAAGAGTAGCCAAACAACCACCAAGGGACAGTTTCAAAGTTTCAAAAGTTACCAGGTTGTTCCAAGTCTTCGTAGGTCCTGACTCACGTGACATGGTAACTGGAAACTTGTGGCCACTGTTTTTATTTCTCAGTGTCAACCTATTCCCACCACTGCCACACACCTTTATGAAAAGTAAGGCACCTAGCTCAGTTGTGACTTGCCCCTCTTCCTTTGTCTCTGAGCCTGATGATGTAATCAATACAGAACAATACTTGGAAATGTTAGCCCTTCAACCTGCTCAGATGTGACCTTCTGAGCAGTCCTTCTTTGACAGATAAACAGTTGTTAAATAGCTTTTAAGTGGTGTGGCTTTAGAAATTCGAAAACCAAGTCTGCTCCCTATCCAAGTATAGGCCCTTCTCAATTTAGACCTTTTGACATATGTGCTCTTCTGTTTGAGACAATCCAGTCCATAACTCAGCATAAATGATATTGTAGGCAGAAAGAGAGTAGGCAATTATAGCTAGTCATCAATGTATGGGAAGGAACATGTCCTTCCTACCCACTGGTTTCCACTGTCTCTCAAGTGGCATTTGTGATGTTCCTATTCATTAAACAGAAAATTTGACTTACACTAACCATTTGTAATTTGGCTTTACAAATGTGGAAAGTGGGGGTGGAATAAGAGTATCTGCTTCTAGTTCCTTAGATCCTAACTATTGCTGCTAAGCCCTCTGCCCACATGGGTCCTTTCAAGTGCTGTGGTCCTCCCCAACGTCTCTACCACACATGGGGCACAGAATTCTTTGTCAAGGTCACCTATTGGTCCATCTACCTAGACATTCCACCACAGCCCTTTCTCTCTTGAATCTTCCTGCCAACCAGGTATTGCTTCTGGGAAGATGAGCCCAGTCTATGCTCTTTGAGCTCCCACAGAGCTCTCTCTGCTCTTGTTGCCTCTTCCTCCCACTAAGTTGAGAGTGAGGAAGAGAAGAATTTTTTCTTAAGCTTATGCAAATCTTTCTTCCTTCTAGTTTTCTGGCCCGGATATTTGGTCTCTGCCCCTGCACCCTAACCCCCCTTCCCTCAGGGCTTATGCTTTTGGAATACGAAAGCCAGAAAGACTGGCAGAGTATTTGTTTTCCTTCCTTGCCACCTTCCTCCCCTGAGATACACCCAAAGCTGACTATGTGTTTTTGGGGGTTAGTGGGGGGATGAAGAAAAAGAGAAAAATAAAAGAAAGAAAAACATCCATTTATATCTCAAAATAATATTGAACCACATTCTCCCTCTATTAAATCTTAGTATCCCAGCAAAGAAAGTGTACTCATCCAGGTACCCCCTGCTCATGATAGTAACTCCCAGGTCTTGAGTGTGCCTGGGTGATCTTTTCTCCAGTCATGCAATGGTACTGGGAGAATTTCTCACCTGGATCATCTAGGGGATATTAATGTCCTCCCAGGAGGCTCTCTTTTCTCACAGCACGAGTTGAATGTCCCCTGAGTAAGGGCAAGCATTGCCTACCTTAGAAGTGAGCAACTGTCTTTGTCTTAGTAACTGACATTAAAACACTCCACATTTCAGACTGGACAATGCAATTTCTCTAGCCTTGCTATGCAGTCCGGTCCCCTTTTCCTAGACAAGTCTTTCCACATATCAGGGGACAAATTTAAGGTAAGTACATTTGCCTTGGCAACTGACTCTTGGAGAGCCTAAAAAAGAGTAAACCCACATCACTTCTCTCAAACTTGCAAAGTGCTCAAGATTTTAACTCCTCTGCCAAGTCCCCATGTGGCCAGGCTACAGACCCTGAGTTGGGGTTGCTGAAAGAGCCCTTCCCTCTCCAGAAGAAGATCAATTCTTTCAGAAATGTGCAGTCTGACCTAGTATATTCTTCTGGGAATCAGAAAATGTAGTCTCCTGGGCTAACTAGCCAGGCTTCATTTGCCTTCCTGCCTTACCTTCCTCTTTTCTTCCCTTCCTCCCTTCCACTAACCCCTTTGTATCTGTTCCAACATTCTGTCTTTCAAAACATTCTTGTCTTTCAAGACAATGTCTTTCAAGAATGTCTTTCAAAACATTCTTGTCACAAATCCCTCACGTAGAAGGTATGAATTGTAGTCTACCCACTAAGGTGAATAATAATAATAATAATAGTGGCAGCTAACAAATAGCATTTATTATGTGATTTATACCAACCTATTGAATCCTATGAGCTAAGTGCCATTTCTTTTTTTTTTTTTTTTTTTTTTTTTTTTTTTTTTTTTTTTTGACAGCTGGCTGGTATGGGAATCTGAACCTTTGACCACAGTGCTTGGTGTTATCAGCACCAGCTCTAACCAAGTGAGCTAACCACCCAGTCCCTGGTAAGTGCCATTATTAACAGCATTTTTCAAATTAGTAATGCAAAGCACAAAGAGATTAAATAACCTGCCCAGGGTAACATAGCAAGTAAGTGGCAGAACTAGAATTTGAACTCAGTTTAGTTCAAAGTCCATGATCTTAAACATTTTGTCTTGTCTTTATTGCCTATGATTCCATTTAACTTTGGACTCCAAGCTCCCCCATTCCTGGGGGCTGGAAAATAACAACCTCAATTCTTCTCGATGTTCCTTCATCCCAGGCCCAAAACACGGTTCTGGGCTATTATATAGTGCTAAGGCCTGGGAGCA